CCGCCGCCCGCCCCCCCCAGCCGCGTGGCAGACTGCAAAAAAATTCTACACTTTACGAAGAGAGATTTCGTGAGTCGTAGAAAATATAACTGCGCCACCCTCCCTCATCTTAGGGGGCACAAGCACATCGGATGGCTGGGTTTGGCCACTGTTAGGTCCACTACTCACCAACTATGCGAAATGAGAATGAATCTTACACTAGAACATGGTAAGATACAGCGGCATAAGTTTTGTCTTCTGTGCATGTGGTGAGTAGTGGAGCGAGGCCCTATGTGTGTGTTGAGATAAACAGAGCCCCGTGGCGAGCAGCGTAACAGGGTGTGCATTCACGATTGCCAAAGAAGCGAGGTTGTATCACCTCTTGCACAGAACAATCCATACACAGGGTGGCATCAACGTATCCGTATATGGAGACACAGAGGCAGTACTCAAGGCTGGATGCACACTGAGGAGACGTACGAGGCACATAGATGACAAGCAACAACAAAACACATAGGCTGGTGGGCACGGGGGAGCCGGGCGGGCACAAAAACACGATAAGACAAGGCAAAGACAGTGAACTGAGAAACAACTAGCACCGACGGAAACAGGCAAACCGAAAAAAATACAAGTCCCAAGAAAGTCAAAGGATCGAAAAAAATAGAAGCTGATGACAACAAGATTGTTTCGTCGGAATTGCACCGACTCATCAGGAGGCTGAACCCTCGACAATCTGCGGAATCCCCATATTTGATGGTTTGGGTCATGAACCCTTTGACCCATGTTGAAGGCAGACTGTCCCCAAGCGAGACATAGCAGCGGGCAGCAACCCTGTGGAGCACCAGGCAACACAGTAGAGGCAGCCCAACTGCTTATCGCCAAAGACGTCTGCAAGGAATGACAGGGCAAGCGGACGAGCAGTGAAGCACAAGGCACCACCAACAAGGCAACCAAACTACAAGGCATGCACGCAAAGGACACTGAAGGCCGACAGGGCACACAGACAAGCAGCTCAACAACCGTGCAGCGAAGCGCGAGGCACCACCACAAGGCTACCAAACCACAAGGCACGCAAGCAAAAGACACGGGAGGCACGACCCGCAGGTAAGCGGCGAGGCATCAGAGCAGCGAGGACGACCTGCAAAGCAAGCGGCACGGGTAGCAAGACCGCGGCAGAGCGCAGACAAAACAGTCTACACATCCAACACGGAGCAAAGCAGCACATAACCTACTCACATCACGATAGAACCCCGCAGACTGTTGGTTCCCACCACCCGCTGAGCCAGGGGGATACTCCGACGACCATCTGTCATCACCGACAGGCAACACAAACATCCCGAACTGAGCGGCCCCCCTAAGAGTGCAGTTGGCACTCCAAACGAGGAACCACCGACTGTTTGGCACTACTTAAGCGTGCTCAGTTGGACGCACAAAAACATACTTCTAAAAAAACGGATGGAGGACAGACAACAGGAGAAAGACTGAGAGACGTATACTGATTGAGTGTGTGTGTGTGTGTGTGTGTGTGTGTGTGTGTGTGTGTGTGTGTGTGTTTACTAGTGTTAGGAATAATGTACTGGTTAAATGAATAAGCTAGTAGTTTGATGGGAAATTTGGGAAAATTGGCATGTGTACCCTGCTTAAAGATGGGAATTGCGTGTCTATCCGGTTCCAATGCTCCTCTTGCATGAATAGCCGGGAAATGCTCTCTGGAAATTGTTTGAATGCCTGGCCTGCAGTCGGCATGCAGCGGGCCTTCATTTGCCTTGGCCTACAGCCAGGGCCTATTTGGCAATCTGCCAGTTCGGCCTGTGGGACCAGGTCGTGGCCTGACCCCACAGGCCGTGTGGTGTTCCAGTCCTGCCCGGTACCACTGTCGGTACCAGGCCAGTCCAGTCAGTCAGTCCGCTGGGGGTATACCCCAGCTGTAGTCTGTTTTTGATTCATTCTTCATTTGCACAAGTTGGAGTACGTGCGTGTTGAGTCTGCGTTGGAGTTGCGTTGTCCCTTCCAACTCCATCTCCATCTCCCCCATCCTCATCCCTTCATCTTGATCCTGACGGACCGCCATCCCGGCGGGTCCGTCACACTGGTATCAGAGCAGGCTTTCCTCCCTGCTCCTCTCCCCCACCCACCCCACCTATCAGTTGCCACGCGGCTTGAGCAA